ATTGAATAGTATAGCTCACACGGGTAACCGGCTTCACGCGGGTGATTTCTGGATCTCGTCAACAGCACAACCTACCGGGTCCAATTGCGAATCTAAACCATCCACTCAAACATAAAAAAATATCTAAATCGATCGAGCCATTTTCGAAATTTGGCGAAATTACGCACGGCAATTGATTTTTATAAAGGCCAGAACATAGGTCTCCTCATATTTTCCATGAAGTAGCTACGGTTCTGATCCACCTGCATCCGCCGACATGCATGTTTCATCAGGTAGTCACTCCATCTAGCGGGGGAGGATCGCACAACAAATCAAAAAAGGTACCCGCTGGGTTTCTTGCTGTTTCTTCCCAGGACAGAGGATTTTTCCGAACGAGTCGTAAAGCTTAAATGTCTTTCATTAAGTATTATTGTATTCTATACTAAATAAAAATGATTATATTCTATTCTACTCTAATGCAATTTTTAGCTTTGTCAAAATTGTTGACGTGTGGGCACCCTAGTAACAACTTTAGCATCAAACCGGTCGGCAGCGACAGCGATTAGACTATTTCAACTTGGACCTCTTCCGGCTATCTCTGTATTAATTTTTTATTTTTGTAAAAAAAAACATATATATCACGTACCTGTTTGTGGCCCGCGTGTGGGATGCGTTTATTTTATAACTAGCTGTTCCCCGCAACTTCGCCCGCGTATTATTTGGGGATTTAATTTTTTTGCGCGGAACCCTAATTTTTTTTCTAAAATAAAAGTAGCTTAAGTTACTCCTTGTGACATCAGCTATCTGGCAATGAAAATCCCGTTAAAATCGGTCCAGCCGTTTCGGATTTTAGCCGGAACAAACAGACCGGCAGACGGACAGACAGACAGACAAAAACTTTAAAAATTGTATTTTTGTTATTAGTACCGTTTGTTAAGAGCCGTGGTAACTCAGATGGTTAGCGCTCGCTGTAAGCTTCGCAGTACGCGAGCAACCAGGGTTCGATCCCCGCCGGCACTAATGAAATTGTTAATGGCAATTTTAAGTGCTGATTTACCACGTGCTCGGCGGTGAAGGAAAACATCGTGAGGAAACCTGCATGTATGAGAAATAAGAAAAAAAATATTTCGTAGACATGTGAAGTTCGCCAACACGCATTGAGGCAGCGCGGCGGACATTTCCTTGCCCTAAAACCATCTCAGAAATGAGAGGGAGCCTGTGCCCAGCAGTGGGACGTAAATAGGCTGGAACTTTACTTACTTTACTTATTAGTACCGTATATACATTCATATGCATTTAGTAAAAAGCTGTAATATTGACATTAAAAACAGACACTTCAATTTTATTTATTTGTATAGATTAGCCCACTTCCAAATCAGCATTTCAAAACATTAGTGTAATAACTAAAAAATATATTACTATACAATTTGCATGCTTTGTAATTATTACATAATTAATAACTATGACATTCGAACATCAAACACCTGAGTCCCCTCGTGACGTGGATGCTGTAAAGTACTTAAAAAACTTCGTCGGGAATATAACAAAAGTTAATATACGCGATAAAATACGTAAAAACTAGTTTCATTTAAATGTGTAGAATTATAATACCGTTCTAAAACATAAAACAACGACCTAGATATTACATTGTTTTGCTATTAAAATAGCATTGCATATTCTAAAAATTTATTTTCTTTTCTCTTGTTTACTTTAACAGTCCATTAAGATCCACTGGCGAGCATTCATATACGTGGTAGAGCCATGCTGCAGCTATATTAATAGTATAGTTGTAGCACGAATGTGTGGGCTCCACCGGGGAAGGACCACGCTCTCACAGAATACTAACGTAAAATAGCAGCTTAACGCTGCTGTGTTTCGTGTGTTGAGTGTAACGAACCAAAGACCCCTTTTACTGGTAACGGGGCATTCCATCTTAGTCCACACGGGCGACAACGCATCTGCATTTTGATTCGCAAACGAGGATAGATGTAGACGTCTATGAGCTACAGCAACTACTTACCATCAGGTAGACTGTGTGCTTGTTTGTCAACCTTATTCTATAAAAAAATAGAACTTTTGAAAATGCATCACGACAAATTGTCCAATAATTACCGTGTCGCCGGGCATACGAGCGTGCGATTGTGTAACGCAGATGAGAATCGTATTCATATGTTACTACAGCCATGCTGCAGCTATGTTATATTTGCAGCAAGCATGGCTTGGCTCGACCATTCGTGCTCGCCCACCTTCCTACAATACAATATTTGCCTTCAACCTACACCGTAGGATGTAGGCAAGTAATGATTATTACATTGCAATTATTTCCTTACTACCAACCTCTAGTTCTTGGAAGGTTCTTGTTTCGTAGGTAATAAGTTATTTATTACCTACGAAATGAGAACCTTGAGGCATTTCTTATAATATATTATATTATATAATTACCGCTAAACCGCTGAACGAACTTGACATTTCCTTGAAAACATTTGTAATTTTATGCGTTTTTTAACGATGAATGAACGTAAATTTTCGAATTATTTTATTCAGTGCCAATTTTTTTTAAATATCTAATACGTAAGAACTATATATTATTGTTATATATATATACTAGCGATGCGTTTTTTTTTTATGGGATGGGGTGACAAACGAGCACACAGTCCACCTGATGGTAAGTGGTTGCTGTGACCCATAGACATCTACATCTATCCTCGTTTGTGAATCAAAATGCAGATGCGTTGTCACCCGTGAGGACTAAGATGGAATGCCTCTTTTCCAGTAAAAAGGGTCTCCGGTTCTCTACACTCACCATACGAAACACAGCAGCATTAAGCTGCTATTTTACGCTGGTATTCTGTGAGAGCGTGGTCCTTCCCCGGTCGAGCTGACCCATTCGTGCCACAACTATACTACTAATATAGCTGCAGCATGGCTCTACCACGTGTTACAATGCGTCCAGGCTTCGCACGTGTTGTCCCTGAATCTTGACAACATCGCCACCAATTGTGAATCTAAATCAATCTCGAATCAACTTAATCGCACACACAAAATTTCATCAAAATCGGTCCAGCTGTTTAGGAGGAGTCCAGAATAACAGCGCTGTGGCTGAGGCATCACCGCTACACTGCTGACGGCTACGTGGCGCTGTGGCTTCGCAATTGAGTTACATCACTAACAGCTGCAGGTTCGAATCCCGCACGGAACAAGTATTTGTATGGCCTGATGATAATGACAAATAATTGTTTCGGTCTGGATGTTTGTCCTTGTGCAATTTATGTTTTTAAATTGTTCCCACGATACAGGACAAAATCCTCGTCCACTCCACGGTTACGTTTCTTAAAAAAAAAAGAAATAAAGAAAGAAAAGAAAGTGTCATGTTGAGTTGGATATTCTCCTCATTGATGCAACCCTATGCACATATATCTTGTCTATATATTTTTATGTTTGCTTTTAGCTGTAATATTTTTTATACTGCATTGTGTTGTATGTATTTTTTTTTTATAGAAGAGGGGGCAAACGAGCATGCGGCTCACCTGATGGTAAATGACTACCGCCGCCCATGAACAACCGCAACACCAGGGGAATTGCAGATGCGTTGCCGGCCTTTTAAAAAGGAGTAGGCTCATTTCTTGAAGGTCCCTAAGTTGTATCGGTCCGGAAAAATCGCTGGTGGTAATCGATTCCACAGGGAAGTTGTGCGAGGGAGAAAACTTCTTCTAAATCGCACAGTAGTGGACCGCCAACCATCCAGGTGGTATGGATGGTAACGCGAGTTTTGTCACGATGTGCGATGGTGAAATTGAACGGCTGGAATTAGTCCGAACAATTCCTCAGAGCACTCCCCGTGATAGATGCGATAAAATACGCAAAGAGATGCAACATCTCTACGCATTGCCAGTGTATCGAGCCGTTCAGAAAGAACTCGGTCGTCGACGATTCGAACCGCTCTGCGCTGGATGCGGTCAAGTGGAAGGAGCTGGCATTGGGGTGCCTCGGCCCAGAGATGGGAACAGTATTCCATGTGAGGCCGAACTTGCGTGTGTGAGGAACAAATCATTAACTCATCCATTAAAAATGTTCCTTTTACTGATCTTGGCCACTCTTGTCTTTTTTTTTTTTTTGATCTCTGGCTAAAGTACGTAGGCATGGTTACAAATTGTGTTATTAGTATGGTTTCAAATGATCGTAATTAATATCATTGTTAAGTATTTTACGATAAGCTAGCTGGCAGCAGGCGCGTTGCAGCCGCACAAGAAATGATTGCGGAAATATCGTTTTAAATTCGTAGGGTAAGGTATATAGTGGGATTGATAAAACATTCATTGACGTGGAATGATTTATAATAATAATAAATTAGAAATAATTTTGCCCGTACGATACTTCCGCCACCTAGTGTAACTTAACTGAGTACAATTTATTGTATGCATGGTTAAAGGCATAGTAATAACTTAACCTTCGCGGAAGTGCATGCAATATGTTGATTATCTGATGAACGCGGTATGGTAGCGCATAAAATACGAACAAACGAACATTTTATTTTTATATATTGGATTACCTACTGACATTTTGTTATTGAAATATATTTTAAATTTTAATGATCATATTTAATAATGACAGTTCAGTTATATTTTATAGTACTATCACAAAATAAATAATATGGTACTAATATAGCTCCTCCTAATGAGGTATATCCCTGTAGTCATTTGTGACATGATCACATGACGCAGCTAGAGCCATATTGCAGCTATAGCATGCAGCAGATTGGTTCATACCGACTGGGGAAGAATCTTGTGTGAAAAGCAGCTTAACGCTGCCGTGTTTCGTATGGTGAGTACAGAATCGGAGACCCTTTTTACTACAAACGAGGCATTCCATCTTGGTCCTTAGAGTGACAACGCATCTGCATTTTGATTCGTAATCGAGGATAAATGTAGATTTCTATGTAACACAGCGTCCACTTACCATCAGGTGGACTTGAATGCGGACGTTACTATCGGCAGTAAATGCTACAAATCAATAAGGATTACCTTAGCAGGTGTGAGGCGCGGCATCGCAAGTCGTCGGCTCGGGCGCGCCACCGCTACGCCGATGAGAGCGTCGCACAGCGCGCGCAGCCCCGCACCGTCGCTGTAACCACTGCTGCCAGTGCCACTGCTGCCAGTGCCACTGCTGCCAGTGCCTCCGCTACCAGTGCCACCGCCACAGCCGGCCGCAGCCCGTAGAGCTGCGCGCACCACGCCGCAGCTGGCCTCACGCGACCCGCCCCGCGTCACCTCTATACAAGCACACGCACAAACAGGCAGACTATTAGTTCCTTTGGTTTTTTTTAACGAATGCAATTACGCTTTTATTGTGTAACACATATAATTATGCCGTTTTTTTTTTCAAAAAAAAACCCGCTGCGTTTCTTGTTGTTTCTTCCCAGTACAGAGGTATTTTCCAAAGCAGTGGATATTGATATGTCCAAAACATTAGAGTGACTTTCAATAAGATAATATTATTTATAATCTTCTATATTGAATAAAATAAATTCTGTTTCTGTTTCTTTTTACCCGACTACCCCAAAAGGAGGGTAATGTTTTTCAAGAATATGTATTATGTATGAACTATGAATGTATGTCTATTTCTTTGGCACGCTCTGTAACCTACGGCTTGACGCATTGTACCATATAAGTGTCGTTAGATTGTTCTTAATTATGGGAGTGACGTGACGTAGGCTAAACTTTTCTTTTTTCAGTAAATAGTTTTAGGCAGACGGGTTTTTTTAATTGCTGTTTCAAAGATAGGGTTTGTTCGATATTATTTTAAAATTATTATAAATTGCAAACATAGAAAATGTACGCAAATTTATACTAAATTTATTTAAATAGAATAGAATATTTTTTAACCTATATATAAATAATTCTTATTGAAAATCGTATTTTACTTATACGTATGCATACCAATAGTTGGTTCGGTAGAAATTTCTGTCCTGAACCAGCAAGAAACGCCGCGAGAATGCTTTTGTTCATTATTTTTATCTATTAAATATTAAATCAAATGTAATAATAATAATAAAGCCTTTTTCTTAATAGAAAATAGAAAAAAACAACAATTATACATATTATGGTTAGGTACTCTTAAATAATCTATACATATAATAAATCTGTGGAAAATCGTGTCTGTAATTCTAATATTTTCTGGAAAAAACACGTCCATGAGCGTAAATAAAGGGCACTGAATCCAAATTAGTGGTTTATAGAATTTTTGTCTGTCTGTGTATTCCCGATTCACGCAAAATCTACTGGATAGATTTCCATGAAATTGTGTGTAAGTAGTTAGGGACCTGGGGCAACTTATAACCGATTGCCGAACTTCAAAAAGGAGGGTTAAGTATTTTCCTTCCTCAAGATGTTAATTTCTATTTTATATTATTGATGTTTTCTTTAAAAAATAAATAACATATTTATAAATAAAACCTAAAATTAGTTTTAACGTTTATGTAATAATATTTGAACAACGCCTACAATCTACGTTTCACTATAGTACCTGTATATCAAAACAGGGTCATCTAACGTGAAATTCAAAAAGTAGTAACATTTTACCTCCAGTTACTAATAAATTATGTTTAAATACTTTAATTCATAATTATTTGAATATGTTAACATTAATTTTACAGTTGTTTCGCTATTTAATTTTAGTATAATATATATATATGTATTTTCATTAAGTACCACCCCTCTTTGGGTAAAGGCTTCCTCCATCTTGTGTTTTGTGCTATTTCAATCTCATCGACCCTTCTTTTCTTTCGGTCTTCCTTGTTTGTGTTTGCCCGTTGGTCGTGTCTACGTGGTTGCCCCTTTCAACCACTTTGTATCAACGGATCGTGAATTTAATAAGCTATATACACTACACATATTTAAGGTTTCGTCGCCTTCTAAGGTAACAGATATTTTTGTAACATTTTATATCGTCTGAATGACAGATTAGAATTGTTAAATAGATTACACTTGGCCACAATAAGGTTTATACGTAGGTAACCAGACATGATCATGTTCTATAAGATTAAATTACAGATCGTCATCAACTAATTCAAGCTATTTCCTAACGTATTTCATGAGAATACGATTTGGATTTGCACTTTGATACATGGCATCGATGCGGTCGCATGTACATATTATGTGTTAGTTTTATAGCATGTACGAGTAGTTTAGTCTGTAGCTTAGTCTAAGGCAAATTTAAGTTCTAAATAAATAGTTTTCTAGTCATAAACAACGCTCGTTTAAGAGATCAAAACAGTTATTGGGCCTGGAAACTATTTTAACGTCCGACTTACGGCTTACGCCAGTGAAATGGTATATTGCTCTATCGAAAACCATAACATTTTCTGGCACAGAAGTCTATATTTCAATACCTTCCTCTTATGATACCCACGGACTGTATCGCACGGTAAATTTGACACTCTATTATGTGGTAGAGACACGCTGCAGCTATATTATGTTTGTAGCACGAATGAGTCGGCTCGACAGGGGAACGACCACGCTCTCACAGAATACCAACGTAAAGTAGCAGCTAAATGCTGCTGTTTGCTGCTGGATACGAGGAATTTCACCTTAGTCCTCGGGGGTAACAATGCATCTGCATTTAGATTTTTTTTTATAGAAGGGGGCAAACGAGCATACGGATCACCTGATGGTAAGTGATTACCGCCGCCCATGAACAACTGCAATACCAGGGGAATTGCAGATGCGTTGGCGGCCTTTTAAAAAGGAGTACGCTCTATTCTTGAAGGTCCCTAAGACGTATCGGTCCGGAAAAATCACTGATTGTAATCGATTCCACAAGGAAATTGTGTGAGGAAAAATAACTACTTTGAAATCGCACAATGGTGGACCGTCAGTCATCCAGATGGTATCGCGAGTTATGTCGCGATGCGAGATGGTGAAATTGTGCGGTTGGAATTAGTCCGAACAATTCATCAGAGCACTTGATAAATGCGATAAAGTATGCAAAGAGATGCAACATCTCTTCGCAGTGCCAGTGAGTCGTGCCGATCAGAAAGAGTTTGGCGCCGACGATTCGAATAGCTCTGCACTGGATGCGATCAAATGGAAGGAGCTGGCACTAGGAAGTCCCAGCCCAGAGATGGGAACAGTATTTCATGTGCAGCCGAACCTGAGCGTTGTAAAGTTGCAGGCGGTGTGCCGGCATAAAATACTGTCCCGCTCTGCTGAACACGCCAAGCTTTTTAGAGGCCAATTTGGCCTTCTCTTCCAAGTGACCACGAAACTGCACGTCACTCGGTATGACGACGCCGAGGATTCCAATACTGACTGAGGCAACAATGGGAGTGTCTTGAAACTGAGGAGATACGACGAAGGGGTTCTTTTTGCGGTAAACGCGCAAACTTGTGTCTTCTGGGGATGAACTGGACTAGATTTAGTTGCCCCCAGTCCGAGACTTTGTTCAACAAAGTCTCGACTGCAGACACATGTTTGTCCCGGTACTGGGCGACGTTTTCCCGAGAAATATTGGCACGGCCGGTGTATAAAGCATCGCCAGTGCTATCATCCGCATAGCAATTAATGATACCGGTTTGCAACATGTCATTGATATGCAGAAGAAACAGCATTGGTGATAGCACGCAGCCTTGTGGAACACCAGTGTTAATGGGTTTGTAATCGGAGCATGCACCGTCTACAACGACCTTGATGCTCCGATCTGCATGAAAACTGGTGATCAAATTGCACAATTTCTCGGGAAGCTGCGTAAGAAGCGCTTTGTGCCAAACCCAAACCCGATCGAAGGCCTTCGCCATGTCCAAACTAACGGCCAACGCCTCCCCCTTGGACTCTACTGCCTCCCCCCATCTGAGTTAGGTAACCCAGAAGATCACCAGCCGAGTGACCGCGACGGAAACCGTACTAACGGTCACTAATCAGCTGTTGATCCTCAAGGTACCGCATGAGCTGGCAGTTAATAATGGACTCCATTATTTTAGAGAACAAGGAAGTGATGGCGATAGGTCTATAGTTGGACAGATCAGAGCGGTTACCTTTTTTAGGGATCGGGTGCTTGAAAGCTGTCTTCCATGATTCGGGACTACTCCTAGGTAGTAGGAGTACCGGAAAAGACGCATTAAAACCGGTGCCAACTTTGATGCACACGTCTTCAGCGCAATAGGAGGGACGCCATCAGGCCCACTCGACTTTTTGACGTCCAGGGAGAGCTTTCTTGCAGACCGAGCGCTGTGAGAACCGCACATCCGCCATGGAGCACTCACACCACGGGATGGTCGGCAGAGTGTTCCCCCCGTCATCAAGAGTCGAGTTGGACACAAAGTGAAAGCCCAGCAGATCGGCATTATCCTTTGCGGCATGGGCCAGGGAGTCGTCTTCCCTATGCAGAGATGGGATAAATAACAGCGGTAGAGCCACGCGGCAGCTTTTGCTGTCGCACGGATGGGCCGGCTCGAACCGGGGTAGTACCACGACCTCACAGAAAACCAGCGTGAAGTAGAGGTTTACCTCTGCGTTTCGCTTGGTAAGTGTAGGTGGCCGGAGGCCCTTTTTACTAGAAATGAGGCATTCCATCTTAGTCCTCACGGGTGACAACGCATCTACATTTTGATTTGTAACAGAGGATAGATATAGATGTCTATGGGCCGCAGCAACCACTTACCATCAGGTGGACTGTGTGCTCGTTTGTCACCCGACTGTGTGCTCGTTTGTCACCCTTATCCTATAAAAAGAAAATAGCTGACAGACGTTCCCTTGGACAGCCTTGGCGAGAGACCAGAATGCACGTGTTCCCGAAGAAAGACAAACTAGTTTCTCGTCAATTGTGCCGATGTGCTTTGACTTTGCCTTGACAATGACACTTTTGAAGGATTTGGAGGGGGAATTATACTTCTTTTTAAGAGCGCTGGAATTTGCATCCCGAGACGTCGATGCGTGAGCCGAGGCCTGGTAGTACTCTTGCTTATGGCGTAATGCAATTTTGCAGGAGCGCCCAAACCATAACTGGATTCTGCTTCCGATAGGTACCATAGATGATGGAATAAAAAGTTCTATATCCTGTAGCACCACGTCAGCGACAGAATCAGCAAGAACGTTGGGATAATCCGGCGAGAAGCAAACCCGCCTCCATGCTAGGATGCAAAAAAAGATCGCATCCCGTCCCAATCGGCTGACCTATAATGCCAAACACGGCGGCAACCTGCAGAACCCAACCGCGACGGGAGCGTGAGTAGCACCGTACTCCGGATCAGACAATGGTCGGAGGAGCCAAGAGGGGCATCGACGGAGATCTAATATCCGTCCCGATGGGATCCATCTGGGATCTGCGTAGACGAGGTAACCAGTTGTGTCAGACCATATGCTAAAGTAAAGTCATAAACAGATCTACCCTCATGATCGGTTAAACGAGAATCAAGCCATTCAGCGTGGTGGGCATTCACCAAGCATCACGATCTCTGCGGATGGGAGCTGTTGTAGCACGGAGTCTGCAGCTATTTGGACATGGTTGATGAGTCAGTCTGTGTCAGCATTGGCGCTATGGCACCTATAGAAGCACCCGTAGATGCGGGGATAGTCGTCGGTGTCTATGTGCAGCCATAAAATGGGCAGGTCTGTACCTTCAAGGCTGCCGAGGCGTCGAAAACAGATGTCCTCTCTGACGTACACGCAAACTCCAGCCCGGGGCACAAAGGAGTGTTCTAATTTGTACCCCGGGTAGGAAAGATACGAAGTATCAGCCGGAGAGGACACCTATGTCTCGGTTAGAAAGAGCAAGGCCGGCTTCGCCGTTTCCAGAAAGAAGTGGATGGCGTTAAGGTTTGAGTGAAGTCCCCTGATGTTGCAGAAATTCACGGATAGCGTGGCAGGGAGCGCCTTTGAATTATTGCTCCGTTTGCCCCGAGTAGGTATAGTCTCGAGCAGAATGGCGTAGATGCTCAGCGAGGGATTCTCCGTCATCGAGGGTGCTGGTACCCTCGTGGGGTAGTGTATTATTTAACTCCGCTACCATTTTAAGGGAGGGGGAGGGGGAATTGAGCCTTCAGCCACCTGCACTCACCAGACAAAATGCAAAAGCAGAGCTTCTACTTCACGCTGGTCTTCTGTGAGGTCGTGATACTAATTTTAATGGAGTATAAATGTACATGTCTATGGGCCACAGTATCCACTTACCATCAGGTGGACTGTGAGCTCATTTGTCGCTCTTATCCTATAAAAAGAAAAGTGAAAGGTCCTCACCTGAGACGGCAAACTGCACCGTGAGGAGTGCCTCCATGAGCTTGATGAGCAGCCTGGCTTCAGCGGCTCCGCACTCGCACTCGCACAAGCAGTGCAGCACCACCTTCAGCAGCGCGAAGCTGTCCAGGAACACGCTCTCGCTCACCACGTACTCCCGAAACATCGGACTGTACAGGCAGAGGCCGGCGCACGTCTTCCAGAACGTACAAATGTTCTTCAACGTATCCATATCCTCTTCCCCCTTTCCTTCCACAGTGTTCTCATTGTATGCAAATGTTGTTCGTGTAGGCACTGAAAGTTTTCTTGCACGAGTCTCGGCATTGGAGATGGTCGTAGTGGCGAGGATTTCTTTCTCCTTTGTCAAATCGCAGAGCTCCTCGAACTTTTCCGGTGGAAGTTTCAATTTATATATCTTGTAGCATTTGTCGGTCATCTCTGACAGAGATTTAAACAGCATCTGCACCGACGACAACGAACTCATTTCCCGATAGTAACTCAGCTCCCTGTTCTCTTTCATCAATTTGTATATCTCCACGATTATGGCAATTTCTAGAATCGCGCAGCACTGATTGGAAAATTCAGGGAGAGATACAAGCTCGAGTACATAACTGAGGCCACCCTTCTGTATGAACTGTTCGGCGAACGAGACGGTGTTCAAGAGACTCGCAAAGATGTTTAGACAGGAAACGGTCAAGAAGTAGGCTGAATCCTCCTGTCTTATAATATAGCGGTGCTTGGAAACGATGAATGTTGGATAAATAACGCTAAACAGTAGCTCGTACTTCATTTCTGTGCGACACTTGGGCGTCACTTTGAGGAGGTGGCTGACAGTTGCATGGAGAACGTTATTATGATTGTCTAACTGGAGCAACGAGTTGTAATGAATTAGGAAAGACCACACACTTTTCCTTTCTATCGGACTGACACCATGCGGGCAATACTTTCTCCCTAAGTCCCTATTATCATCGCTCGGCTCACAAATTGAACACGGCAATTGATCAGTTACTCGTGGAATTAGTACACTAGAGCCCAAATCACCATAGACCGTGTGCTCGAGAAGTTGGAGGCATCGTGGCGCTACGCTGTTATGCGTCAACATCAATCTCACGATGCATTCCATGAGAAATCCTGGCGAAAAACAACAACACACCCCGCATTTTAGCATCACTCTAAGTATTTTGTTCCTCAAGACGATTTGAGCTGATATCTCCTCATCAGTGACTAATGACGTCAAAGTTCCGTAGAGAACTGAGATGCAACAGGCGGACGGTAGAGGCAGGCCAGTGCCGGCTTCTCCAAGCACATCGTGGTGATGATGCATGCCCGCAGCAACCCTCTGCCTGCACGCTTTATGCCGATTTCGCGGACAGGCAGCTGTATGTATCACCTCACTGCGCACTCGTTTCATCCCACTTACAAGCTTCCCTATAGATTCTATTAACTTCTTAATCAATATCACACTCGCTTCTTGATTCACTCCCGGGATTCTTATCATCAGTTCTATGCACTCTTTCAAAAGGCCGCCTTTCAGACATTCCCCGTAAAGTTTGAACTGATCGGTGAACTCTCTGAGCTTGTCGACCGTCCGACATTGCATTAGCAAACAATGGAAGAACGCTGTAACAGAATACGCTATACCGAACACAAATTTGAGCAAGTTCTCCGCTTCAGTCTCATTTGGTTTCTCTACATCTTTGGCACTAGTAGGACTCCCCTCTTTTGTGTTATATTTACTACTAGACTTACAAATTACATCTTCTAGAATTCTAAGTAGCATTGGCAGGATTCCGTTGTTAATTAATTTGGCACACAGATCAGAGTGGATCAAGACTTTATCTAGAGACACGATCAAGAGTTCCGTTAACGCCAATTTTATCCTGGACACTTCCTCGCTGTTATAGTTCGACTGCGCCGGCAAAGAGCCGAATTGCAATGAGCAGAGGTTTTTTAAGGAGAAGTTTATACACTGCATTGAAATCTGTGAGCCCTCAGATCCAGTGAAACTACTCTCAGTTTTGCAGAGCTCTTGAAGCAGGTCCGTAATTAGGAGTGTGAACTCAAAACTGGTGATTTCAGTGTTGATGATATCTCTATGTTTATCGTTCATATAATCGTCCGCCTTTGGTTTTATTTTACGCAACGTACTGAATGTATCAGTGTAAAGTGTTTCACTGGGATACTCATTGGAGGTGCGGACTGATGAGTTGAAATATTCGAAGTCATCCTCGGGCGAGCACACTTTGATGGTCATAGATCTGTTGAGGATCTGAAGGTCGTCGTTCGAGTCAGCAGACTCCGAGGACTGGTCAGTGTCTATTGCGGGTCGCTTCTTCGCTTTATTATCAGCGGTATCTTGTTTGGATATGCCGTTCTGCTTCGCCCTAATAAGAAAGGTAAAGTTGCATTACTGTTGGATGAAAATCATAACAAAAATTACAATTATATTAAGTGAAAATACTAGTTGTTAATATGTGTTGGTCTATTTAAAGCAAAAATACGCAAAAACTTAAATAACTTGAAATGTACCTTAAACCACAGAATAAATAATAGTACACGAATTTAAACAGTAAATTGTTAAGGAGCTGTACTATTGTTTAATTCTCTTACATCAAGTAAAAACACCAAGTTTACCTTCCAGTGGTGGAGCTTCGCTCGGAAGATCCAGCGGAGATTGTTTTTGTTGCTTGATTTAATTTTTGTTTGGACCATATCCTGATAATACGAATAAAACATTTCAATAAAAAAGTTAAAGTAAATTCACTGCTCTTATACGTACGAGTAGGTCACTCAATAAGTTTTGAGATGCTCGAAATTTAAAAATGGAACGCACCCGTGTTATGTGTTTCCAAAAAGCAAATTTATTTAAAAATAGAACTCCATAACCAATTGCTTAATTTAAAAAAAAAACAAAGTTCTATTAATTTTTCTGCAACGTTTCCCGCGCTTTTCATTTAAAACGATGGATCTTAACCGTGAACTTTTGCGCGCTATGATATATTATGATTTTAAATTTGGTTTACAACGGTTACAATCATCATTAGGGGACTCAGCTCCATCATGGGCAACAATTTTTAAGTGGTTTGCTGAATTCAAAAGGGGTAAAATTAATCTTAAAGATGACCAAAGAACCAGGGCCCCACAAACAGCAATAACGGCAGTAATGTATGGACTACTGAAATGTAGGTGCGAGAAGACCCACGAATCACATATACAGACATCGAAAAGATTGTAGGCATTAGTTCGGGGAGCATTCATACCATCCTACATCAACATCTTGGAGTGAGGAGGCTTTGTTGTCGATGGATCCCTCGTTTGCTCTCCGAAAGCGAAAAACAGATTCGTGTGTATTGGTCCCATTTTACTGGAAAAGAGGCATTCCATCTTAGTCCTCACGGGTGACGACACATCTGCATTTTGATTCTTTATTGAGGATAAATGTAGATGTCTATGGGTCACAGCAACCACTTACCATCAGGTGGACTGTGTGCTCGTTTGTCACCCTATCCTATAAAAAATTCTACAAAAAAAAAATGGAGGAGGGATTTAAATTATACGATCTCTACGCTAAATAACCTTACGTCGATTTTTATCATAATTATATGTATAAAACTTTGAAGGCCGCCAAAAATGACAAAATTTTTTCAAACTGATATAACAAAAATTCCTTTAGTTTTCTTTCTAACTAATTTTTGATGTGGTTTAAGGCGAGCTATTGGACTACTGTGGATATATGGTAAGATGAAATGAAATGAAAAATATGGCACTATATTCTGCATCGGCACTTAATACAATTTTCTTGCTACTGGTGCGGATGCTCCCAGCTGTTGAAAATACATTAACATTTCAAGAATCGAGGAATAATAGCTACCTGTGCGAGAAGAGCTGGTGTATGGGCACCCGCGGCGCCTGCACGCGCAGCTGCGGGGTGCCTCGCCCCCCGCCCCCGCCCCCGCTGCCGCCCAGCTCGCCGAACAACCAGATCAGCACCGAGCTCAGCTGCCGGCAACACGACAGGCCCTGCCAACAACTCACGTCCTCAAAATTTTGTCAATAGCAGCCGTTCCACAGTTTAACGACTAATAAGGAATGCTTTTCTTTGTGATTTGGATAAACACTTGTACTAGTTTCACAATATTCCTTTTTTAATTATCACAAAAATGAAGCTGGAGTTTTATCAGTTGACAACAATAGCAAGATTAAATAATACAGGAATGCCTTGTTACCAGGTATAAATAAGCGATTAAAAACACAATAGCATTATGTTGCCATTTTACGCTGGTATTCTGTCGGGCTCATTCCCTGGTCGAGCCGACCTACTTGTGCTAAGCCCATAATACAATTACAGCGGAGCTTTGTACGCTTCTTTGGTCAAGTGGTCATAAACGCGCCTGTTGATCATGAAGTTCCGGGTTCGTATCACGGAGCCGGGCCAAAAAATATCGCCCTCACTCTCTAATGACATTTTCCATTCACGTCCACCTGTTAAGGGTACTCGTGTCCTAATTATTTTGCAACTACCCGCGTCTGCGTTATATCGCTCAGACAGTCATGACCCACATTTATTGTAACATCGCATAATACGGAGAATTCAAGCTATCGCATGGAAATTTTCTCATATGTCGGAATGATAATGATCGCAGATTTTAAGTTATACTAAGGCTTTTTGCATAGTGAAGACCGCTCTAACAATCTACCTCATCGTACTGAATCTCGTACTTATTCTCCTTCTGCAATGTTATTTTTTTGTTACCTAGCATGTTATTTTTAAAAGCTTTTAAAAAAGTTACTTCGCAAACATCCGCTCTATAAAATAAAATGATGTGTCTTATTTAGTATGAAGAGCAGGGTAGTGGTGACGGGGATAGTGCACGCAATTGAGGGAGGGCGGGAGGTGCTCTTCACACTAGGTAAGACACATCATTTTATTTTATAGAGCGGATGTTTGCGAAGTAACTTTTTTAAAAGCTTTTATACAATGGATTTCCGCAAAGTAACGCCTGATTCTATTAATTACACGTTATTTTTGTTAGACTTATTGTTACTTTATTTGATTGTAATCATATTTGTTCCTGTATGTAAACATGTGTTTTTTACGTGGTAGAGCCTGTAGTGTTATGCTACTCACGTATCATTTTACATTATTTTAAATTCATTTTTCCATTCTGTTTCGATTTTCTGCATTCACCTCAAAACTGGATATTTTACATCACCTTTATTTCCATAGGATCCTGTAACGATTTTAAACCATAAGAACACAATAACAAATCATTTCTACTTCGTATTTTCACATTATCAGCACTTTTAAATTGGTGTCAATGGAGTCTACCTTTTTTCGATCTTTTAGCTAGTTTTCCGTAACTCTACAATCTTGGACTTTGTGTGGGCAGTTGCGCTACCTTTTTTCCTATATCAATAATATCTCATTTTCCACTTAAATCTTACCGTTTTCTTATTATAAACCAAAAACAAAAATTTGACATATTTTGTCTTTCTTATTTATATCGTTTCCATGGTAACTATATTCAAATTTGCTACCGATCTATTATTCCTATTTCGATAATTCCACATAAATCCTCTTTTCTCTTGACCATTTACAAAAAATTTGCGTATAATTTAAATAATTTTTCCGTTCTCTCTAGAAAGGTATAAAAGCCGAACAACCGGTGAAGAAAGGCAGTCTCGCTTCAGTTCGCGAATTGGAAGTATCTCCTAAAGGCCTTATCCCGGGGCCGCACTGCCCCGGGATCCTGCAAGCCTCCATTTACACGTGAAGTCTTCGGCGAAGCCTTCTTCAAACTCGGGCCGCGCCACTCCGGAATCCTACAAGCCTCCATCTACCTCGGAAGTCGCTTCGAGTCTACTACAAGCGCGGGGGCCACACTACTCCGGGCACTACTACTACTTACTCCAGGCGCCGAGTGCACCTACCGCCGGCGCTACCTTTGGGCGCTGCAACTGCTAGCTCTAAGCGTTGCGCGCCCCTTCTCCAGGCGCTACGTGCGTCGGCTCCGGACGCTGCGTGTACTGGCTCCAGGCGCTGCGCGCCGTCGCTGCTAAGAAACCTACTTCTACAAGCGCAAACGGCGTGTGCTGGCTTCAGGCGCTGCGTGCCGTCGCTGCTAAGAAACCTACTTCTACAAACGCAACGTGTGTCGCTTCGACTTTTAGGCCCCACTTCAACGCTATATTCCCCTATTCTCTCACCTTTATTTTTTTTATAATCTAATTGTATTCTCACTTCATCCATCATCATCCTCACATCATTTTTTTTATAAAATTGTAAATACCTTTTATAAATTTAAATATATTGTTTTTCTGGCTCTACTTTTGTTGTTTTGTTGTACTTAGGTTAGGTTCTATTTTTTTTTAATTGTCGCTTCACGACAAGCCATACTGCAGCTATATTACTGGTATAGTTGTAGCACGAATTGTTCGGCTCGACAGGGGAAGGACCACGATCTCACAGAACACCAGCGTAAAATAGCAGCATAACTCTGCTGTGTTTCGTATGGTGAGTGTAGAAAACCGGAGACCCTTATTACTGGCAAAGAGGCATTCCATCTTAGTCCTCACGGGTGGCAACGCATCTGCATCTTGAGTCTTTATTGATGATAGATGTAGATGTCTATGGGTCACAGTAGCCACTTACCATAAGGTGGACTGTGTGCTCGTTTGTCACCCTATCCAATAAAAAAAAAGAAAAAAAAACAAACACGCGCACATCGGAATTTTATATTTAACTAGCTGGCACCCGGCGCGTTGCTGCCGCAGAAGAAATAATTGTGAAAATGTGGTTTTAAATTTGGAAAATTACATTGTTTAATTAGGAAGGATAATACATTCATAGAATGACTAGCTGTTCCCCGCGACTTCGCCCGCGTGTAATTTTGGGTTCTAATTTTTTTTTTTGCGCGGAGCCCTAGTTATTATTCTAAAATTAAAGTAGCCTAAGTTACTCCTTATATGATCAGCTATCTGCCAGTGAAAGTCCCGTCAAAATCGGTCCAGCCATTTCGGAGATTAGCCGGAACAAACAGACAGATAGACAGACAAAATTTTTAAAAATTGTGTTTATGTTATATGTACCGTGTATACTTTCATATGCAATTAGTAAAGAGCTGTTTTGATATTACAAACGGACACTTCAATTTTATTTATTTGTATAGATATAGATATATAAATTTCAAATAAATATGACGATACACGGGCCATTGCAATTGCAAGCAATAATTTGACAAAGTAGACTCACTTAGCGGTTAGCCACCGTAGAGTCTATATCACCTGAGGATGCCTCGTGTAGAGGCGAAACACGTGTCGTATTATCGTCAGTGGTGTGTCTTGCCTAGTGTAATGGTGTTGAGAGTAGCAGTGCTGGGATTAGTGGTGACGGGGATAGTGCACGCAATTGAGGGAGGGCGAGAGGTGCTCTTCATACTAGGTAAGACACATCATTTTATTTTATAACGCGGATATTTGCGAAGTAAATTTTTCTAAAAGCTTTTAAAAATCCCAATGTTACCTCTTATTTTAATCTAGTACAAATTTTTTTCTAGCCGTGGTGCATATTATTAAGCAAAAAATGTAATAAATGACATCACTTAATATATTATCGAAGTAATGTATTTCGTATAACTAGCTCTGTATTTGTTTTTAACCAAACCAACACTAACATTTTTCGAGTTATTGTATAAAAATGCATTTGGCGCTTACTATATCTTAAAGCTTCTTTGCTTCGTACAAATAAATTCAAAACTATCACAATCATTGGCAACGACGTTTTTTCTCTCTGCCCAAAACAATAAGCATAATATTGTTATCAAACAAAAATCATAAATAAACAAAAAAAATCAAGCAATGAGCGGGCAGTCGTTACAATTAAACAAACGACTTGTGTTCATTTTCCACGATAAACTGTATAAAAAGAAAGTCGTAGTGTACGTGTAGAGAACTGTCCGGCATTCACCACGCCCAACAGTGGGTTATACACACGCTATCTCGCATTACGTGTTTGAAAAGATGTCAAGGTTAAATAGTGTCGCGGCTCCACTTATCTGGGGTCAGCACCCGAGGGAAACTGCCCGCAGCGCTGATTGTGTGCTGTAACCCTTATCTATGCACGCCACATACTACATACGTACTTTAACTGATGTGCACCATACGGGATTTTAGTTAAAATTGCAATAACCTTAAAGTTCCAAATCGTTTGTCGCTTCAAACTTGTGCGTGTAAGATAGCCGGAGGTATTAAATCACAGTGCACGTTTTCTTAGAAATTACCCTTGTTTAAGTACGTTTTGATTTATTCTGCATCCGCTAATATATGAGTAGGTATTGCTAACTTCAAATATATCCCTACATATACGCTGGTATTGTGTGAGTGTGGTCCTTCCCCGGTCGAGCCAACCATTCCTGCTGCAGCCACGTATAAAGCTAAATATATATTGTGACGATATTTTTATCGAATTCTGTCAAAAACTCTAAAATTATGATGTAGTAACACTATCCATATCACGTATGGTGACGGCGCAAAATAATACACCCCCCCTTCTGGTAATGTCTAATGTCCTCCAGATCGAATTTCGATCACGGCGACCAGTCTCAACGGAGACTAGCCATCTGCACAGGACAAGTTTTAGTGATGGGTCAACTCGAGTTACTATCTCGAGTTAACTCGAGTTGCGCCTAACTCGAGTTAACTCGAATTGGATCTCCCTAACTCGAGTTTGGGCTGCTGTACATGAACGGATCAAGTGAGCCAGCAAAAGATTAAGCGCACGATTCGTTCGGTGTGTGCGCTTTACTATAACTCTACCAAATTTCAGAACTGCACCTAATCATTTTTTTTTAATTGAAAATTTACGACTTTGAACGCCCACCTACCCCTTGCGCCACGAGAGAGAGTTCTGACGGGCTTCGCTCTGTACTTATATGCTACCAAGGAGATGTTATATAATATATAATTCGTTACTACACCTTATCAGTTCACGTTTTCGTAGCCAGCTCTCGGACTATGTGTTT